GTTTGATTACTATAAAATATGTTTCCTTGTGATTCTTTCTGAAATCCAGTCAAGGGTAACAGGAGGCTTCTGCAGCATGGGGTTGTGAAATCACAGTGGTGTTTCTGTTTATAATACACTCTTATTATCCTTGTAGTGTAGTTAAGGAAGTAGCCACTTACTTTATCAGATTGCAGTATATTACACATGTCATACACTCACTGGCTGCTTCATCAGGTACACCTGTTTAGCTGCTTGTTAATACAAATATCTAATTAGAATTAGTCATGTGGATGTGGTTGAGACAACCTGGTTAAATTCAAATGGTAATTTACATGACTTTAAACGTGGCATAGTTGTTGAAGCCACCTCTAGGGTTTACAGAGAAAGATCTGAAAAGAGAAAATATCAAGTGACCTGCAGCTCTCTGGGGTCTCTGGCTCTTTGATACTAGATCTTAGGAATGACCAGACTGCTTCAAGCTGACAGGAACGCAATAGTAACTCGAATACTCACTTGTTAAAATCAGGATATGCTGAAGAGCATCTTTGAATGCACAACATGAACTTTGTAGCAGATGCGCTACAGCAGCAAAAAACCACACTGGGTGCTAATCTTTTCAGCTAAGAACAGAAAACTGAGACTACACATGGACTGACCAAGATTGTACAAGACTGGAGAAAATGTTGTTTTCAGGTTTCAATTTGTGGTGCAACATTTAGATGGTTGGGTCAGATTTGACATAAAAAGAAATAAAAACATGGATCTACTGGGCCAACAAGCTGCTGGTTGAGCTGTAATGGCATTTATATTTTCTCAACTTTCTAAAGCTCAAAATCACCATAAACTGGTTTCTTGAACATGGCAATGAGTTCACTGTACTCAGATGGCCTCCACAGACACCCTGTTGCAATCCAGTAGAGAGGGAGATTTGCATCATGCATATGCAGCTGAGAAATCTGTGTGATAGTATTATATCAATATGCACCAAAATCCCTGAGGAATGATTCCATCATGTAGTTGGATCAATCTATGAATTTATGTAAAATTAAGACAGTTCTGAAAGCAAAAGAGAGTCCAACCTGGTAGCAAAATGTACCCAATAAAGTGGCTGGTAAGTATATGCAACATGCAGTAGGCAGTAGTATAACATGTAGAAGGATGAAGCCCTTCTTATGCAGATAAAACTCTGCTGTAAAAGATTCCTTTTATGCACATTATTTCTTCACTATCCAAATTATTGAATTCCGGTGTTTCACTTCCATGTTCACAGATGTATGAAATCAAGCACCTAGTGATGCAGACTGCTTCTGTGAGTATTTGTGAAAGAACGGGTCAGTCTCAGCTGCTTAGTGAATTCCTCTGTGGATGTACAACAAGTCCACTCGTGAAAGTTCCTCACTACTAAATATTCCACAGTCAACTGTTAGTGGTGTTATAACAAAGTGAAGTGATTGGGAAAGACAGCAAGTCAGCCATGAAGTGGTAATATTGTAATTGTAATTTTACAATGTAAAATCTCAGAGCAGGGTCAACAGATGCCCAGGAGCAGAGTGTGCAGATGTCGCTAACTTGCTGCAGAGTCAGTCGCTACAGACCTCCAAGCTTTACATCACCAAGAGCAATGCAAAGCTTTGGGTGTAGTGGTGTAAAGCATGCCACCACTGGACTCTAGGGCAGTGGACACATGTTCTCTGGAGTGATGGAACAGGCCACTCCACTGGTAATCCGATGAACGAGTCTGGATTTCATGCTCCCAACTTTGTGGGAACAGTTTGAGGATGACCCTCTTCCTGTTCCAACATGACTGCACACCAGCAAGCAAAGTCCATAAAGATATGGATGAGATGGTTTGGTGTGGAAGAACGTGACTGGCCTGCACAGAGTCCAGACCTCAAGTCAATGGAACACCTTTGGAATGAATTAGAGCATATAGTCACTGTGAAGGCAGACAAATACTTTTGGCAATATGTTTGGTTTTTTTTGCATTTACTGTTTAAGTTGTTTCTATTTCTATTCTGTTTTTCCATGACATATGTTCCTAAAAAACAAAAACCTAAAATGACAAAAATGACAGACTGACCGAACAAATAAACAAAGCCCAGTGGAAGATTCTTTTGTTTAGTGCCTGCTAGTGAGGTTGCTGACTTTATTTAGGCTCAACTCAAAATCTCAGACTTCAAAAGTGTTGATAGATTTGCTTTCACAATTTGCAATTTCCAATCCCAGAATTTCTGATTTAAAGACTGATTTAAAGAAGAATTAGGAGAATACCAGGCAATGTCAGACTTTATGTAAACAAACCATGTACCTCTGTTAGTCTGGTTAATTCATTAGTGGTGATATGTCTACTGCTGTTTTGAAATTTTACTACAGAAAAGTACAATAGGTCATTTAACTAACCTTTACTGCCCTTTCTTGAAATGACAAGGCCACACTCCAAACGCATAAAAGAAAAAAGGTGTGTGAGTTAGATGCAGCTTTTATGCCAAAATATGGGAGGATTGAATCTAAGGAGTAAGATAAAACAGAGTTGTGAACTTCTGGTGAACTTACATGCACAGATTAGTAGAGGAAGCAACATATAAAAAGCACGAAGACTACGTCACTTTATGTCCTCCTCCACAGGAAGCTTTCTGCAGCCCACAGCCTAGATCGGAAATTCTATTTTTGTAGGTTTGCCACATCACGACAGGCAGGAAGACATGCTTCAGAGGTTTATTTGGAAGCGTTGTTTCAGTCAAGCTTGACCACATTGTTTTATAACAGGAACTTGCTGAAATTAGGGTTTTCTTTAAAGACCCGGGCGTTAATAAATAAAAACGTGAAAGTGGAAGGAAACCAAATTGGTTTAGAGTTTATGTAAGCAACAAGAGAATGGTTTTACATCTTAACTCTAGAGCTTAACAACTGTAGTTGCATTTTAACCACATAATTGTATAACTTTAGAGGCAGTCTAACACACACATTCAGTTGAATAGCTGGCTGACGTGTTTAGGATATTACTCGGTCAACTGTCTGATGTGATAAAGATGATTTTATAGCTCACAAGAGAGAATACACAATAGATGTAAAGCTGAAGAGAAAAGCAGCATAAGAAATGTGGCACACACTGCCCTCTGCAGACTGTGGGTTGTCTTTTCAAAAAATGTCCTTAATGTACATATCCAACATATTGTAAAAGGTGTGAAACACAATGTAAGCATAACAGATGCTTACATTCACAGCTTGTCTTTTCCTTTTAGCTGCCACCAGGATGCTGTGTCAAACAAACAAATGTTAAACAAATGATAACGGAGTAGGGAAGGCACACATGTACCAGGGATGTTATAGATCTGACTCTGATTTTGCAAAATTAAAATATGGAAAATTTCTGCATTGGATCGCAACACACTTGTCATGTTAATTGATTATTCTGATCCTACACAACATGTAACACCCACTCAGACATTTCATCAGTATGCACTCTTATACTGAGCCACAAGTGTCACTTTATATAAATATTCTCTTTTTACTACATTAAGCGAGCCATTTTTAAACTCTGTTTTTGCTCATCTTAAGTAATTTCAATTGTTTTGGTGTCAGACTGATTTTTAACTTTAACACATTTATTTGGTTGTATTCTGCTTCATTAAACTACATACCATTTCACTTATTAAATCTATTGGTTATGTGTAAGTTAAATATTTCTTCTGACTGAATGCCTAAAACAGGGGTGTAGAACTCCAGGCCTTGAGGGCCAGTGTCCTGTAGGTTTTAGATTTCACCCTGGGTCTACACACCTGAATCAAATGATTAGTTCATTACCAGGCCTCTGGAGAACTTCAAGACATGTTGAGGAGGTAATTTAGACATTTAAATCAGCTGTGTTGCATCAAGGACACATCTAAAACCTGCAGGACACCGGCCCTCGAGGCCCGGAGTTCGACACCTGTGGCCTAAAATTTAGCATGGAGCAGTCAGCTGCTAGGGACAATCAGTATAATTAAGATAAAGCCACTTGACAATGACCTATAAATCAATCATTAACCTCTGTTGTTACTGACATCTTAGCAGAGAATCCGTTTTAAATAATTTTAGGCACTTTGTTACTTGAAACCTGTTACAAATTTGTTCCAATCTCTTTAGTTGAATCTTTGGAAAATGCCAAAGACACCAGTCTGATAGACATAAATAGAATTTTTGCAGGAACAAGATGATTCTCAAACAGCTATTACACTTCTGTTCATCCATCTACTGCTCACTGAAACCTCATCAGAGGCTTCATCAGGAAAACCGTCACCATGTTTCTCTTCTTAAGAAATGCCAAGGTATACAAAATTACACAAGAACTGCGCTGAGAACCAGTGTAAATACAAAACAGACTTACGGAGTGATGAATCTAGATTTGAAATTTTCCAATCAAATTAGGGTCATACATACAGAAGATGTCAGGAGAGATACAATAATGAGTGTCTACAGCCGTAAAACATAGTAGAAGCTGTGTCATGGTTTGAAACCGCATTTGAACCAGTCTGTTGGGGATCTTATCAAAACTGATGAAATTAAGAATGGAGAAAAGTACCATCAGATTATAATCGAATTCAGTACCATCTGGAAATCATCTGATTGCCAACCGCTTCAATTTTTAGTACAACTACGATCCCCAAACAGTGCCAATACAATAAAAGCAATGCAACACCATAAACCATTGATGGGCCTCCTTAGAGCCCAGATTATTATAGCGGTGTAGGATCATCTTGACAAAGAACAGAATAAAAGGCAGCCAACACCCAAAGAAGAGCTTCTTCCAGAAGTGTGGAAAACTATTCCAAAAGAAATCACAAGGAGAGCTCAGAATGTGTTGAAGAATAAAGCTGGTCATATTTTTCTAGCAAAGTCAGAAATGAGTTTTTCCTAGATGATTACTATACCACATGTTGAACATTAAATCAGAGAATCAGAAGTGACGGTACGTTGCAGTCATGCAAGCAGCAGTTATACCTAATGATACATATTGCAACAAATCCACTGGACTAGAATCACAGTTTAACACAGGTTTATATTTTATTTAAAACAGTCATTGTAGAATGCACTCTGTCCTCCATCCACATGAGAACATTTACTCTGCTAATACTGTACGTTGTGACATCTAGGGGGTATATTATTTCCTTGTCTTACAAATGACATTCATCCAAACAAACAAAAATAGTTTTTGTGGAAAAAACCCACAAAGCTACAGAAACATTTACTCTCACGTCAACTACAAAACAATGTCAATCCCCTTTTGTTACTGCAGTTTTAACTTATACTAATAGTCACGATGGCTAAAGGCACAAAGTAACTGTACATATAGTATTTCTGAAATACTTTGGCTTAACTGAATACGAGACTTTTGGTCTGTAACGCAGTAACAGTGACAGTGGATACAGGGTGCAAACTGTGCCAAGAGGCAATTCACGACTACATTCTTACCTGACCCATCTTGAAAAACAAATAAGAAAACTACAGCAGACTTGGCATATTGCACATTGTGTACTGTGATTCAAAGTGCTGCACCAATCTCATCAAGACTCTTCAAATTAAAAACAAGATTTTTTTTTTCATTTTTCCTCCCTCTTCATCTTGTTCTGATCCGGTGAAATGAATGGCAGTATCTTAACTCTACCTCTTCCAAAATGACTAAACCTTGGAAATCCATCATCTGTCAAAGCACGGAGCAGTGCAAGTATAGTGCATGCTGACTTGGAATGCCCTGTTGGGAATGTTAGACTTTGGCTCCAGCGACGTGGAGATGGTTTGGGTGTTGATGCTCTGGGGGCCGTTGGCAGTGGAGTGGCTGAGGTAGGAGGCAGGCAGGTGGTTAGGGGCTGTGACTGGCTGTGGAGCTTGCTGGGGGTACTGCGCATTTGTTCGGTTGAGGTACTGAGCTGAGGTGTGGTAAACTGTCTGACCCTGCTGCTGCTGCTGCTGGTTGGGCTGCTGACACTTTTGCTTGTTGGCCTCTTTGACGTCACTGTCATGTGCACTGTGGAAAGAAGGGACAAAGAGTTGCACTGTTGATTAGCGAAAAGAGTCAATGCTGCACACCGAGTGCTGATGTAAATCTCTTGTATGTGTAAGGTGTGTGCTTCTGTTGTGCTTTGGCTTCTTTTGTTCTGCTGTGCCATTGTGAGGCATCAGTGTCAAAACACTCTCAAACCTGAAACGCAGCACCTAACTGTCCCAAGTCATTTTAATCAACCGTGTTGAGCGTTCACTTTCATATTCAGCACATATACAAGTCAACTTTGTGCGAGGTTATTGTTAGATACGCACATGAGTAGTTTCTCTGTACACGGGATTAGGTTCTCCCATGTGTAGCCCGTGAGGCGCTGCAGTCGGGGTGGCCATGTAGGTGACAGGTGAAGGATCAGGCGTGAGGCGGCCACACACGCAGCAGCCACCAGTGAAGGTGCAAAACACAAAAAGACATGATCTGAGGAGGAAAAAAAAAAGCACCCCAGATTTAACACCCCAAAAACCCCAATCCTCATTTTTACATTTTTTTCTTCATGAAAACAGACATTATGTCCAAAATGAATTTAAAAACTGAGATCTACTACAGTAGCTGCATTATGGCTTAACAGGAACTACACTAGTTTGCTAAACCGTCGGGCATCGATGCTACTTTCACAGACATTTCAAAAGACAAACAGATAAAGACCTAAAATATCTGTGCTAAGCTAAATAATGCGATAGCCAGCGTTTGCTAGCTTTAGCAATTGCTAGGACTGAATGTATTTTCTCAGTAACCCATTTATAACTTAAAATGCCAGACTGAAAAATTTAAATATACATAGAACCAACATGCTATAAAGTAAGTTTCTTATTGAAATCATCTAAACTAGCATGTAGAATCGAATTATGATAGATAAGATAAAACTAGCTAAATTGTTGCTAACGCTACATAGCCTTGGAAAGTAGAATTTAGACTGCTATTACTGCAGCTGTTATACTGTATTATTTTAGGATTCAAATTAATTTTAGAAAGATAAACACATAAAGAACAGTTATTTTCTCACTAGTCATGAATGACAATTAAAGTACATCTTCTCTTTAAAAAACTGGCCAAGCAAACTCAAAGATCAACTTTTGTGGGTGGACACTGTTATTTTCCACTTACATTTCCTTATTATTCAGAATGTGTAGGCATAAATGTGTTATTTTAAAAAAAAGCAGTTAGTGGAATTTCTTTAAAGGTAATATGGAAAGAGATGAGAAAGCAAACCTGTGATAAATAATTTAATTTAACTTTCCCTCAATGTTACAATACAACATTAAAAAAAATTGTTAACTTTAAGTTTGAGATTTTAGTGCTATACAAATGTTAGATTTATGCTAAAATATTGATAAAACCTCAAAGTGTGATATCATTGCAGACATGGACAAGAAAACTAGGAGTACTGCACATTTGTCCAGTGTAGGCGCTGAGTTGGGGTGTGGTAAACAGTGGTGAATGTTTTTGAGCTGTTGTGGCTTGGGATGTGGCGTAATTGTTGGAATTGGTTCCAGACACACTGCACAGAATATTTTGGAAAATGCTGATGTACTGGGATTTTCACATGTGACCATCTCTAAGAGGCACCAGTAACTCAAATAACCGCTTGATACAACAAAGGCATGCAGAAGAGCATCTCTGAATGCAGAACACATTGAAACTGGAAACAGATGGACTACAGCAGCAGAAGACCCCACCGGGTGCCACTCCTGCTATCTGAGAGCAGGAAACCAAGGCGAAGACTGAGAAAACATTCCCTTGGTTTAATGACACTCTGTTGTCGTTGCGGTGGTGATTTAATGGTGTTGCAGATATGTTCTTGGTGCAATTTGGTGCCCTTATTACTAATTTAGCATTGTTTTGCCTACCTGAGTAAAGTTGCTGACTGTACCCATGCCTTTATGGCTGCTCCCAGCTGGAACAATAGCACGTAACAAACTGGTTTCTTGGACACGACAGTGAATTTATGGTATTTATATGACCTCCACAGTCACCAGATCAGACCAGAAGTGAATTAGAACACCTTAGGAATGTGGTGGAACAGAATATTTGCACCATGGAGTAACACTGTGATGCTATCATATCAACATATCAACAACCAAAATCTCGGATGATTGTTTTCAGCACCATGTTGAAAGCGCCACAAAGATTTGTGGCAGTGCTGAAGCCATATAATTCTACATATGAAACAATGTAGGAGTGAATTCACCAAAAAGGACTTTAAACTAAACTTCCATAAAAAAAAAAGAAAGAATAAACTCCTGCTTTAAAACGATGTAAAGTTATACATTGGTATTTACATGTTAAACCCTAATGTTTAAGGTTAGATATTTAATCTAATGTCTTCTGCAATACAATATTTCAAAATATTATTAGTAATTTGTTCTTTAATATCAGTTGAAATACCAGTGACGTCACACAGTGCTGTTTCAGTATTAACAGACGGTACAAAACTGATAATCAACGTTGATTCAATTAAATGTAGGTTGACAGACGAATATTGATTTAACTGTTTCAAATACTGTTTGCTGTCTGGATAGGCTCTGAGGAGCTTCTGATAACTGGAAAATCAACGTTATCAGCTCCACTAGAAACTGATAATACTGATAAGCAAGACTGCACTGCACAAATACATCCAAAATGCATGGTACCTTGCAAGGAAACCTCAAGGAAGTAATCCACATATTTGGCCATGTATAGTTTAGTCTTTTCCAGGCATGTCATAGGCCAGCCATCATGCAGATCACCCTCATGGACCGCAATAGAGAGGTAGTAGTCTGTAAAATGGGCCGCCGTAGGGAGGTACAGGTTCCACTGGAAAGTTTCCAGCAGGAGCAGCTCCATATGCAGTAAACCCTGCTTGGTCAGGACCAGGTTCATGGAGCTCATGCAACCCAGGTTGTTTAGTGTTTCCAGCTTCGGCACCCGGTCCTCCCTTTCCTCAAACTTACCTGTAAGCAAAGAACAATCACCCAATCTGTCACACCAGTGTGGACACTTACTAGTTAGATGTGTTGAAAAGTGAAGTCAGCTGCACACTTACTGGCCAGAAGAAGACACGAGAGCGAGACCATGTGAAGCTGCTGCACCGTGACGTCATAGCGGTCCATGAAGAGGTCCAGCAGGTAGACGGCCAGGTGCCTGGCCGTAGGACAGAGCCTGAAGCGGTTGCTGACAATGGCTATGAGGTCTGCGAAGTATCGCCTCAAATTGAGCTGAGGGGACTGACCTTTGAAGGAAGGTAACTTGAGCTCCTATGGGACAACATGTGTTTTGAGATTTCAAAAAGACACATCTTTCATTGTAACTGAACTAGACTTTAGGTTTATTCTGCTGTAGTCCTATGAGATTACTCCAGCAGCAAGCAATTTAAAGCGAGCAAAGACAAGTTCATGCCTATTAAAATAAGGAATCAATTTCGTTCTCAAAAGTAACTCAGATTTCACTATTTACAGTTTTGCACTGCTGTTTCAGTATCAAAATGTGAAACAGCACGACAGAAGAAGTTACTGATGAATGTGAAGGATGACACTTCAGGTAACTTTTCTAATAGTTTTTGCATCATTTTTAGCAGCCACCACATAAATGACCCGGTGTGACTCACTTTGTATCGCAGCGCCCGGTATATATCTGCAGCAAGTTGTCCTTTCCACCATTGGTCCTCCAGCTCCATTTAATACAGTGCTTTGGAAACCTGGCAAAGACAAAACATCGGAAAGGCAGTTAATCAACTAAAACGTGTCTCAGAAAGAGCACAGGAAAAAAAATGCCGCACAATGACACTAAATCTCCAAACACACAGCCATGTCACTTTTCACGATAGCGGATCAGAAGTGGGAACAGTGAAGTCAATCATCTTTCTCTCACTGCGTTTTTTCCTTCTTTTTCTGAGGTGAGAATGTGAAAAGAAACGCGACTCCTGTCCAACCCAAAGCGGAGACTCACCCAGAGAGCACATGTAGTGAAATATTACGGACAGTTTCACTGAAGAAAACTTCAATTCAAACTAGCCAAACAAGCTCTGCTCGCACTCATTGTTGTAGCTGCTGAGAGTCGGCAACACGAGTCCAAACACTACTGGTGCGTTCAAGTGCTGTTCGAAAAGTCGCGATCCCTCGTGAACAACCAACCAACCGAGAGACAGCCGGGAAAACTGGAGGTGAAATATTACAACCACTACACTACACTACACTACACTACAACCAACATAGTAGCCGATAAAGTGCAACGGATGCGTGTTTTCAATTGAAAGATGTGCATTGTAAAACATTTTGGTGCAACATCTAGCTGTTTAACACAGTTTACCTGTGAGATTTTGTTTTTGATTATCACTTGAAAGCATCATTCCATTGTCTTTACAAGTACTGCACAGGTTGCAACCAATTACGGATAAGCAACAACTGTCAACATCCAATCACTGCAAAGTCAGCTTAGCTGCTTTCCTATTGCAGCCAATGGTCAATGAATGGGAATGGCAACATCTAATTTGTGCCCACATCCCAATATTGCAGTTTCTATAGGCTATCTATATCGAATTGTAAAATGTTAAAACGGGCCAAACACAGCAAGCTAGTAAAAGAACAGTTTTCTAGCAGTTTCATTTTTTGTACTGCCCACATTTTCAGATAAACAATAAAGATGCATGGGAAGTGATTAGCTCATCATGCATTGCTTTGAAGCTGACAGCTAGTCCAGCTTGCCAACAGCCAAAAAAGGCAGGTGCTTGGGGCCCAACACCAGAAGAGGTCCCCCAAGTGCTGACAAACTTTAACCTACAGCAGTGGCAACCAGTGCCCTTGAATTAAAAGCAAACAAAAACAAAATTACAGAGACAGTCAAAGAGACTCGACCTCTTTAGGGGGGCCTGATGTGACTCCACTGACTCCCACTGCAAGCTGGCCACAAGGCAAGAGAGGTAACTGCTTGGTGGGCCATACTAGCAGGGTCTGGTTTACACTACAGCATGGCGACATTGAAAGTTTGCAATTATACTCAGCACATTGGTCGTGTTGTGCACAAGCAGTGACGTCGCCACAACACTTTACCATTTATATCAGTGCTGGAGCATGAGTACTCTGTGCAGTATTCTCCTGAACGATAGGTCTTGGCACAAAAACTCTACTTAAGTACTGGTATAAAAGAGGGGAAGAAGTTAAACTACCCTAACAACAACAACAGAAGACACTTGACAAATGAAGAGTAGTTAAACAATGAAGAAAAAAGGGAAGGTGGAGAAAACCGGCAAGACAGTTGTGAGTGGAGGAGATAATGAACCTAATGATGGTTAAATATAATGTGAAATAATTAATGCTGCTAGTCTAGCCTGAACAGTAGGGAGAGACACTTGAATAAAGTCAATTTTTTTGCCTAGGGCCCCTACAGATTCTAGCATCACCACTGTTTACTGCCAGGTCATAAGTCCATCAGTGGTATCCTGTGTCATTTACAGTAGCTTCAGTTAGTCACAAGTTGTTTGAGAACCCACCCACTTCTTGTCACTAATTTTTTTCTTATTCGTGTTCTCATAAATGTTTGACATGGGTTTACTTTCTCTGTTCTCAATTATTATATTATATTATATTATATTAGTTTTAGAGAAACTCATATCCGTCTTGTTTGTCTTGCTGTCTCACAGTAGTGCTGAGCCACTGTAACCATTCCTTCTAACCAGGTTGTTGGTTTCTAGGCTAGATGATACTGGTTTGTTCCATTGTCAATGGTTTGTTCCTTTCTCTCATGAAAGTGAAAATATCAAGTGAAAGTAAAAACTAAAATAGTGGGCCAATCCATCAGTGCGGCACATTCAATGAGTGAAATATGGTGAAAATCGAATAAAAAGAAAATGCTCATTGAATTTACATGTGCGTCACGTGTGTTTGTGTACACAGCTGTGATAACAAATGTGAAAGTGATTCTTTTCTTTGTGGCTACATTTACCTAACTGAGTTTTTTCTACTCCCAGGAGAGTGTGATGACCTCTAAAAACTTACAATAGAAGAATAATTGTTTTTCCAATATACATTTAAAAAAAAATCCCTGTGCAGGCAAAGTAATTCAATCAGTCACTTTTTGTAATGCAACTCCAAAATGGGTCAGTTTGTCCCAGAGGCACAGGACCATTTCATTTAACCCAAATAGGTTAAAGTAACATCTGTTCCTCTATAACTTCAAGAGCAAGGGGAATTCTATGTAATGCACTTTTCCAGATTTTCCAGGTTAGCAGAAGAACACATTTTAGTGATGATGGTGAGGGAAATTGATTTGATATATATGTAAATGAGAGCATTCGGACAGCAGTGCAGATTTTTAGCTGGGGCTACGGAGGAATGTTGACTATTTTGAGCCACCAATGCTGGGGACAAGTTTTATCAGGTGACAAAGGAAGATCAAAGAAGTGTCGACTCCCCGGTGGCTTCCCGGGGGCTGTGATAAGGATGCCGGTACGACTGACTGAGCCACACCTAGTCCCTATCTTGCAACAATGGATCAGTAACTTGAAGATAACATTTTAAAGGTTAACATTAACATCACTTAAGACAACCTTTTTATTTTTTAAATATTGTCTGGCGCATAACAACTTTACATTTTACAAGAAAACACCACACTGCTTCCATGATGCATTTAAATAATGGAAAGAGCAGTCTGGGAGTGTAGCTGCATGCAGGGGGTGAGGGTTAAGAGGATTGTTAATGCTAACCACTCTGTGGTAGATATTGCTGAGGCGGTGGGAAGCCGTCTTTATAAAGGACTGAAACTGTCTGTCAGGGGAAACGAATGGTGTCCTGGGTGGAGGGAGCCAGTGGCTTTTTTCTTCTTCTTCTTCTTTGTTGTGTCATGCAGCTCCTACTTGGAGTGCAGCTGACAGCTATTGTCCGGCTCAGTAGTGTGACCAAGAGTCTGCAGAGTCTTTCAAAAAGCACATGGAGAGAAATGGCAGATGAATGTAAACAACCTTTAAGTTACTGATCCTATTTAAGGTTAGCATCATAAAGCTGTTTACTTCCTGGCATTGGTGTCTCAAAATAGGCAACATTCCTCTGGAGACCCAGCTAAAATCTGCAATGCTGCCCAGATGCATTCATTTAAACTCTGTTAGGGGGGCATTGTTCTGACAACTTTAAAATCTGAAAGTGATTTTTGTAAACTAATCATAAAGGACAGATGGCAAAGTTTGTAATTAAAAATCCATGGATAGGTTCATGTCGGTGGTTTAGAAAGTGTGGGTCAGCTCTGAAGAGTCAGCATTCTACTGTCTCATACTTGTAATACTTAAAAAGTCAGTCAGTAAAAGATGGCATACTAATTTGTACCTACACAAAGTCACTTATTAAAATCCCTATAGTGATTATGTCCATTTACAATTCAAATTAAAGAGTCTTATTAAAGATTGCCGAAAGGTCACAAGTGCGAATGAATCTACAGCCCATTAAGTAGCTGCAGTAAAGGGTGTCACATTTGCTCCACTCCAGGCCCAGTGGTCAAATTTTATAGCTGCTATTGAACTATACGAAGCCCTTCACTGTGTGTTAATTAAATTTGTGAAGTGCTCCACAAACCCAAAGGATATAGCAGGCAGAGCAGAGGCAACCTAAACTTTCACTTCTTCAGTGTTTTGCAGTATTATAAACTGCATTCAACGCTGTACCTGCCTGGAATAACAAATACAAACATATCCCTGCTTGAGTCTGACTGAGGCTATCAGCAGTTCAGATCTTTTTGTGTTGATTGACTACCACAGGGTTTTACTTCTTATACAAAACAAAACCGAAAGAAACAAAACCATCAGATTATACTTACATTGTGTAACATTCATAGATTTTTTTTTCAGTCACTGTTAATTGTATACACAGCACTTCATAGACATGTAGACTGTCTACTGGATACTCAGTAGAAGTTAAAATCATGAATGAATCAATAATTATGATCCAGTAACACACTATATATGATCGAAGAGACCTAAATACTTAAATAAAAAATATTAAGACACAAATTTCCTACATAGTTTTTATTTTTGTAATAATCCTCACCTTGCTTTTGGTCCATCCAAAAAAAATGATGTAGCTATCAATCAATAATTCTTAAAGTCCCATTTTAAAGACTTGAGTTGAGCATTTTCACAATTACCAACTTTCTATGTTGAAACTGGATGTGAGGAACAAGGTGTGGATGCGAGTGTGAAATTGAGGACATTACATAACTGTTATCTAACAACGCGTGGCTGTCGAATCCTTCTAAAAATGCACAAAATAAAGTTCATAGTATTTTCACTGTATTTGACACAGTATCCAAAACCAAGAGTAATATCCAAATTTTTCATTTTTTTGTTTCAAAAAGAAACATACATGCAAAAGTTGGCACCACACTTTTGGGGCTGAAATGTAAACAATCTTTAAAACTGTGAAATTTTGCTGTGACTAGCCTGGGATTATTTCTCAATTCCTAGGGTGTCCTTGGTTTGAGTGATGTAAATGTCTTCATTGGATGGTGAGCGTGAAGGTGTGTGGAGATTAGTTTTTTTGTGACCATGTGGACCAATCTGTGAAGGTCCTATTTGGGGGCAGTTTAACAATTTGCTTCACTTTAATCCACTCCTGTAGAAAAATAATTCTAGAAATGTTCATGTTGGAAAGGACATGAACAGCTTCCTTAAAAGTTTACATTCACATAGAAAGATATTGTATGAAAGCTCATAATACCATTTAAGACTACTCAGTGGAATTGTTACCGTCATACAAAACCCAGCATGCAAGCTGTGGGCTGCAGTAGTTAGCCGCGACCAGTTAATGTTGTTATTATTATTTTGCTAACAATTTTGGAAAATACGTGTTTTCATGTACGCCTTGTTATATTTCCACTATTTTCGGTTTTCTAGTCTTCTGCTAGCAGAAGTATTTTTTTTTTTAAAACTACGCTACGTAGGCACATTGAGAGCTGTTTTCCCCATTAATCAGCTCGGCGTCTGTGCTTAGCTGTAGGCCCGGGACAGGACGGAGGCACTCGGCTAAAGGCTAAAAGCAGCTCAGAGGCTGTAATCCCCGGATGAAAAACCATCATGGCTGCCACTCGCTGAGCTGTCAAGCTCTCCACAAAAGAAAAGGTAAAAAAAAGAAAAAAAAAAGAAAAAAATTCAGAGACTACTAGTTAAACAGCTACGGCTTTATTAATGATTTATTCAACCGGTTGGGTCTTTGTGCAGTAAAAAGTCGACGCGAGATGAATAAACGGATGCGGTGTAACTTTGTTGGCACGCTTTGTATCCCTCAAGTTATTCCGTCTTTGTAAGCTCTTCTGCGTCACGTTAATTCAAATCACTTAAACGCCGCCTCAGTTTTAACAGTTAGCTTGGTCGCCAAATTAAAAACACTCCTGTTTGTGCGATAGCGGAGAGACTCGGGCGCTACGGTTTTGTCTAACTTTATTCCCGAGGCGGTCGTTGTCTCTCTACAAAGCGAGTCTTGTCACTTTGTTGTGGTCAAGTCAAACTGCACAATGGCCGCGCAGCACCCCTCAGTTTAATCTGCTAAAAAGTGCTAGCTCAGTCTATTCTTGTTTATGTGCGTCATTTATTTAATTTTTTGAGTCGAGAGGGATGTTTTTAGCTGCATCGCTTAGCATAGCACATATATGCTTGGTTTATGCAGCGCATGAAAGTTCATAAATGGAGCAGGTGGGTTTCCTGCACCTGGTAGTCGCAAATAGTTTATTATTATTGATATTATTATTGTACCATATGTGTAATTTTACATCCAGGTAGACACAGTTTGAACCATGGCCAGCAACAGGTGGACTTGTGTTAAATTAGGATGCAGAGCAGGACAGTGAATGCAGCAGCTGTAAAATGATGAAGCACAGAGAATAAAGTACAGTATGACCAAATTGCTTGTGTTTTTCTGCACTTTCAGAAATCTGGAAAAAAACAAAATAAAACCATGGATTCGGTGGGTATCTGCACAGCTACATCTGCAGGAGATAATAAACAGCGTACCAACAATAAGAACAGAGACCGCCACAAACAGCTCCACCTCAGGAAGAATGCCGTTCAGCCCCTAGCTATGCAAAATGAAGATAAGCGTGGACCAAAAAAGATATCAGAGGAGTGGGAGCAGAGCACGGTGCGGCCTTTATCAAAGAAGCCCTCACAGGAAGTGCCGCAAAGCCAGTGCGGGACAAATAACTGTGGGAATGCGCTCCGGTTCACCTGCTCTCAGTGCAGTGACAATTTGGAATATGTTCCCAAAGACTTAATGAGACACTTTGAGGAAAAACACAGAGGGATTGCCCCATTTTTTTCCTGTCATGTATGTAGTTTTAGCACAGACAAGTTCTCCTATCTTCAGGTCCACCTATTAAGCCACAAAGACACTTTTTCTAGCTGCAGCATATGCAATGATGACATTAGACGCACATGGCCTGAATTCAGTGCTCACCTGACTGCGTATCACTGCCCAAATGGCAAATACTCATGTGAAATGTGCCAGAAATTCTCCACAGGTGATGTTAGAGTATTTTTAGAGCATGTGTACGTACATAATTTGGACCTGGAAGGAGCCGATGATCTGTTGGTGCACACAAAGGACGTGAATCAGCTATCAACTACTCAAAGGTTACACTGTCATCTCTGTGGCTTTGAGGCATCTCAGAAATGGTTGATAACTAAGCACATTAAGACTGCCCATATGTGCCAGAATGGCAACCAGAAGAAAAAAAGGAAGGCGGTTCATTCTCTAGCAATACAACCAAATGATACAATCCCCAATGTGAAGCCCAGAACAAGAAGTGCAGTTAGGGAAATGCGCTGGCTGACGCCGGACTGCCTTTCTCTGCCCGGGAAAGAATTCTTGGATAAATACTGCCATCTGTCAGATCCACACACAACACTAGAGGAGACTCAACAGTTTCTGATGAAATCTGTCGCAGGAGAAACCGGTGACCAGAAATGGACCAAGGCCCTGAAAACTGTTCTGTCAAACATCCCGCAAGATATAAATCTTCTCCCCATGCAGGAGAACAGCATCGTGTCATCAGATCTTACTGTTCTGACGCTGAAGAACAAGATAACTGTAGCTCAGAACGGTGCTGCTTACGGCAAAAGGTTGAAAACGGTGGCATCGTCAGATAAGGAAGCTGAAAGTGCTGCTGGCGATGCTCAGTGCGTGGTCAACCAAAATGGATGTCACTCGACTTTGAACGAGTGTGCTCCGTGTCTGCATGCTGAAAATAAACTACATAATGATGTCTCGGCATCAGCCCACACTGAGCCAACGGAGTGCACTCGCATCCAGGAAAACCGAGAGAATCAGGAACTAAAGATTGTTCAGGAAACTGAAGAGCATATTAAAAAGCTGGAGGGGCCTGTTTATGGTGATGGCAATCATGTTTCCAGTGATCTGAAGTTGACAAAGGAGGCTGAGGAGCAAATGCCCAAATATAAAGTCATGCCAAAAAACAAGAGGAAATGTCGACGGCGTAAAAGGAAGACCAGGTTTAAAAAAGCAAATGAAAGGTCACCAGAGCTGTCGTTAAAGATAGTATTGAAAAAAAATCCTGTGAAGGACAAGCAGTGGGTGTCACAAACTTCTTTGTCTCCATCAGAGGGCAGTGGCCAGCATGGACTGCAATTTCCTAATACGGCAATGGAGGAGACTGTACAGATTGTCCAAACCGTGAGCCCATCAGAAGTACACCAGAAGAAATGGACCAAAGGTTCAGAGACTGAACTTTATGACCAATTTGAAGCCATTAGCTCAATTCAGCAATCAAAGCCAAAAGAGGACTTCACCCCAGGATGCACTGGAAAACCAACAAGTTCTAGAAATATGACTGCAAACACGCCAGATCTACGTGAATGTTTGATTCCGGCACATCAAGAACTGGAGGGCGATGCAGAGGAATTGCTGAACTTCAAGGAAGTTGACAAGAGCATTTCAGCCCTTTGGATAAGTCCAACAAATCCAAAGGCTGGGTCAGTGACTGAAGCAAGCCTTGAGAATGTAGGGCTTGGGCCATCGCAGAATGGCAGTCACTACCCTGAGTCGAATGATGAGATGAGTTCTGCTGCTGATGGAGTGACTCCTCAAATCAGCGCCCAGTCTTCCTCTATTTCCCACCCGGCTCTTCCAACACGAGGTAAAATTAGAATTTCTACTTTCTCTACATAAAATGTCTGAAGATTTAATTTCCAATGGCATTTTATTCCCAATATTTGAACTTTGAGTTGTAATTTTAAGTATGCTGAGTGTTTTTTACTTTTTATTTTGCAGATAAGATGGGTTCCTGCTGTGGCCCATCTGCAAAGCTGAGTGATCGGAGCATTGAAGGGGTGAAATTTGGAGAAGTGCCTGTAGACTCCTTCACAAATATCCTCAACAAAAACCATTCACCTGCTGGTAAAGCCATCCAAGAAGAGCCCTCATCAGCCCCTGGCTGTCTGTGGCAGCCCGTTCCAAAAGATCTGGAGAGGACCTTGAAGTTGGTAGCCTTAAATCCCTCTCAGCTGGTAAAGCGTCCAACAGGAGACCAGCCTGTTGTAGTGCTAAATCATCCCGATGCTGACATTCCTGAGGTGGCCAGGATCATGGAGGTTGTGAACAGGTACAGAGGAGATGTGCAGAAGGTCATACTGTCACGCAGGACTCTGAACGCGCTCTCGGCTTTGAGCGGCGAGCTCCCTGCGGCAGACGACCTAACGGAAGCCGCGTGGAGCGGTAAAAACTCAGTGCAGGAAAGGTTCTCTTTGAAGTTCAAACTTCGCAGGCTGAGCAGGAAAAAGTACGAAATGGTGGGCATGATGTCTCCCAGCAGAGACGTCGTGACAAAGTTTCGCTGCTGGTTTTGCGGCAGGGTCTTCACCAGTCAGGAAATGTGGCTGGCCCACCGGCAGCGGCACCTGATGGAGTGGAATAGGCCAAACTGTGAAAACTCTTAAATGTCGCACACACTGGATTTAAAAAAAACAAAACAACCCAAAGCAAACTTAAAATAGTCTGGAAAAAGGTGAATTTGCAATAAGAGAACGCAATAATGGAAACCGTTTTTATTTTTACGTCTAAAAGGTTGTTGTTGTTTTTTTCTTCTTCTTTTCTTTGATAAGAATCAAGTCATGCTTCCTGGAGGGTTCACATTCTCAGGGTATTTTTACCTATTGTCTCTCCCAGTCTGAGTAGCTTGATGCACCTCTTTTTGGAGATGAGTGATTATTTGTAAAGCCACAAGGAAGTGGCGTTGATAATTTTGTTCTTTGTTTGTCTTATTGTCTACGCAATAGCTTTATTTAAGGTGACATAAGTACACTGTTGTATGAAATCTTTATAGAACACTGTAATATGTATATTTGCCATACCATCTGTTTTACGGATCAGTTTATGTACGGGTAGGCTATACAGTGTGGTAGCTGTAATATTTATGTTTTTTGGAAAGGGTCACAGGGACCCACAAGTTACTCAGATAAACCAAAACTGTGTGTTTAAAAAAAACAAACAAACAAAAAAACAAAACCCCAATAAGCTGTTTTATGAAACATTTATTTATGATACTTCGGTTTAGCCTTTATGTGCTTCCTATATGCGTTTCCTCCCCAGGCCATTAGCAAAATAAGCGTATTTGCCTTTTTTCTCCCTTTTGTATAAACTCCAAATTATGTTCAAATATAGTGTTAACTGCAAGAGAATATTTTGATGCGTTCGTTCATGCAGTGGGAGCTAATACACTGAGGACTACTTTCAAAACATACCTGTGTTGTCATGTTCAGTGACAAATTGAGTTCTTAAAAAAAATCAAACCTAGATTTTTGAACTTAAATAGGCCTCGATGATCTGATCATGATTTTTATTTAATGAAATTTTTTTGATCCTCAGTACATTTCCTCTGTTTGACTTGAAATGATGATAATCTTATCCTTTGATTGCACTATGAAAGCAGGATATACATTTCCCGTTACCTCACCTTATCAGGCCGAAGCCTATGACAATCTCAACCGGTGTCCTACTGTGGCTCGACATTTCCTCATGCAGCCGTGATCCCTCAGTATTCACAGAGAGAAAGAGAGAAACGTGTGCCTGCTGTCTTGTTTGTTTGTGTCTGACTATTGAATGGATGTATGTATATAAATTGTGCATGAATCTCCGTTTCATAAGTGTGAATAATTCTTTTTCAGTTTAGCTTCTGAGATTTATAATTGTACATAGTCCCGCTAGAGGTACAAAATATTATATAACCTGAGAATTTTTCACAAAGTGCCTAGGAATTATTTTTATGCAACAAATGTACACGAGTGTGATAGCATTACATGTTGAAGAGAGAATAAATGGAAGACTTTGTAAGTTCCTGGTGGCATTTTGTTGTGACTGAATATACGAGACAAGAAAAGTTTTTTTTATTGAAACCAAATATACAACCTTGTAGAAATTGCTCCTTGAAGTATTGCTATCATAAGCCTACTGCTTCCTGCTTCTTTCTGCTTACAGCAAAGCTGTCTCATTCCTTGATTCATTTTAAAACACTGTTTACCAACTGAGCATTAAAAAAAAAAGTGAATAAAACATGAGTTTAAAAGTTCTCTGTGTCTGTGCTACTTCAGCTCTGCATGGCCAGCAGTGCAGGCAGGTCCAGTGTGCAGTCCTTCCACCATTGAAGAAGGGGAAAAGATAATGGGGCTGCTGCTCCTGCACAACATCCTAACCACAGATTAAGGGTTGGGATGGGTTTGAATTTGTGTTGTCTGGCTCACACGCTTATTGAAATCCCATTGCGTGCTCCTGCGGTTTATTCTGAACCTGGTTGGTGTCCCCTGTAGAGCTCAAAGTCCAGCTCTAGACACATTCTAATATTCTGTGTACATTATTTATGCCAATTCGGTAAGTTATAATTGTAGATTTACAGGTCGAGGTGTCATTGTGGACAGTAGAAAAAGGATTGCTTTTCACACACAGTTCTTAGTCAGTTTGGCAGAAATGCATACATAAAGTCATATACAGTGTATAGTGTCAGACCACTTGATACTGCATTAGGTCAAAAGGAAAAAAAAGAATTATCACAAGTGAGGAATTCTGTCAAGATAAGTTCTCAGAAAATTGGGGAAAGACGATTGATTATCAGTGTAACACTGATGTCACATCACTCGCCAGGGTGTCAATCTAAATAATCTTTAACATAACACGATGGAAGCTTCCGTGTTGGTGAGGTTCTCATGCACGTCTCATGCTTGTTTTGAAACAATCAAGCTCTGCACTCGGGTGTGTTTCCAACCTGCCTTTTTAAGTGACAGAGCAACAGCCCCAGTGACCTCTGTAAAGTCTGACAGCAAACACAGTGGACCGAGTCGCTCGGCACCAATCACTCTGCTGTTTGGAGTCACCGAGAGTCGCCTAGGGCTTCACTGGGTAGCATAGCTTGGTGGCTTCTTTGGCATTGCTCTGACTGTCAATCAGCACCAGGGGGTTTCTCTGGTGGTTCTCAATGATCTTAGAGATGCTGCTGAAGTGCTGCAATGAGAAAAAAAAAAACCCCACAAAGGAGAATATTCTGTTAGACTAAAGGAAAATGTTTACAGCATTAGGATGAGGCCTGAGATCATTTTAACCCTGTCCACCACTGTGTAGGTCTCTGTTTTAGGACATGGCCTTGTCTTTATGCGTGCATGTTGATGCCATTTTTGAAAACGTATTTGAATATGGCACATTTTACAACGATGCTGCCTAAAGACAAAAATATATCTATTCCCAAAATGCTGACTTAAAGTAATTTAATTATATGCAAGTTTTTCATGCAGTTTTGTTACGTAAGTATAATGTGAAATGCTACATTTAATGGGATCAATTCCATTGATCAAGTGGAAGTAAAAGGTTCTTGAGGTTTGCTGGAGTTTTTTTTTTTAAATCTCATGCAGGCCAGATCTCATGATGAGCAGGATTTTGGAATTTTCATAAGACTCTCATATCATTGCTCTTTTTTGGCCACAGACTTGTGGCACTATAAATTAATGGTAAGGGTAAATGGACTGGTACTTATGTGTTGCCTTTCTACTCAATTTAAGCAATCAAAACACTTTCTACAAGTGTAATTCACTCAGTCACACACATTCATACAGCTCTTATCTATGTCTAAGACATTCACACACAAACCTGATGCTTTGACTAATGGACTAACCTACCAACCTTCTGATCGGTAAATACTACTATCTATCTATCTACTATCTAACCACAGTGGCCAACTTCACGAATCACTGGATGACCCTTTAGGTGAAAAAACAAGCTGATAGGTAGAAAGCGTTTTAATAATAATAATAATAATGTCTACAGTTTGTAGGCCCGGGGGCCAGGTGAGTTAAATTAACTTGTTAAAAAAGGCTTTAATATGGGACCTTTCATTTAGGAAGTTTATTCAAAAGGGAAATTTGCAAAAAGGTAAGAAAACAGTCATAGTGTTGTTGTTTCTTTAATATGAGTCTAATAATTATTAATAAAGCAGGGTACCTTTCTAATTCATAACACTACTGATTAAATTGGAAAATCTTTTTGGTTCATGTAGCTTGAAAAAGGAATAATTTCTCCTAGCTTTTGCCTGACACAGAAGAGCCCAAGAGGGCTCACAAGCCAATATACCTCTGGTGCTGGTCCTAAGCCCAGATGAAAGGGTAGGGTTTCATCATCAGGTAGGACAGCCAGCACAGAACCTGTGCCAAATCAGCTAGGCAGATCATTTGCTTGGGAAAATGATATCTTTGGGTAAGACACAAACCCAAGTTGCTCTCGATGCATCCATTAGAGCATAAATGTGTGCAAACATTAGATAAAAAACACTTACGTAGGAAAACGCACAGAAAAATATGCTTGTGCGAATGAGGCAAGTTGTATAAGGTGTTTAGGTAGTGTAGAAAAACACTATATAAAAAATCTGTCCATTTACCGTAAACGCTGTAAGTAAGCAGAAAATTTCCAAACATTTTGAAAAGTAGACGTTCAAATAACAAAATTAATTCTAACCAAATTCCCAGCTATAGCCATATTTCTTTAGCATTTACTCTACTACTATTGTGCATGCTTACTATCCTCATCCTATTTAGAATTTCTTAAATGTGGCTTAAATGAAGCATAAAGTATATCTGTTTTTATTCATTGTACCAAGTAGTGCAGTAAATAGTAAGTTTTGTGGTATTTGCAACACTAATGTGTTACCTGTAAAGTGTTGGGCACTTTTTGTGTCACAATTCTGACAAACAGCAGCCTAGACAGGCATAAAAGGGCTCTTACTAAAGTACAGATACACTTAAACTGAACAGACCTATCAAAGACATATATTTACCTCTTCCCCTTTCTTCTCTCTTCCCAGAGCATACTGCTGAGTGCTTGGTATATAGCGGATCGGGATGTTGTACACTCTGCCATTGTAAAACACCACTAACGTATACGGCTGCTGTGCGTCATGACCAGAGCTCTTTCTCACCATAAACGCTCCATCCTGAAACAGAAAAAGCTCAGAGTCAAACCCAGATTACAAAAATGACGGCTCAGCAGCTCTCTCTTCTCACAATAAGATTCTCACTTTATTCAAGCGAAACAAGGCATCGTCAGCAGTTTTTCGGTCGCACCCACCGGCATACCAGGGTTTCCTATAGATGTCTGCATCCTGAAATAAAGTGAAGGGAAATGAGGGTTACAAATGTATTACGAAAAACGTCTTTGCAGTCTACTGTTTTAAGAGCACACCTTATCTTGATCTCCTGTGTCATTTTCATGAGGCTCTGCGAAAATAAACGGTAAGAATTTATGTCATTTTACATTGAAGTGCAAAATTCCCGTGTACGTGGATGTTAAACACAAGGGGGGCCCACACTTACTTGGGGAGGTAAACTGTGGAATAGGAATTCTGCAAGACAGAGTCCACAAACAGAGCAGACGTCAGTGAGTGCACAGTACAAAGCTGTGCTTAAAGACATTTTTTACCACTTACTTTGGTCGCTGAAAGTCCAGTGTAAAGGCTTTTGGAGGAGTCTTCTGTTCATTATGAGCCAAAGGCAGTGTTTTGCCTTGAAAAATACAGACATGCTGAAATTAGTCTGCTTACTGTTTAGGTATAAGTAGAAAATAAAGATAATTTTTCAGTAATCAGCAGTTTGTAAAATTTGTCAAAAAAGCATTTTCAGTCTGTATATTTAAGTCCTTATAACTGGAATAGATTTAATGTGAAAAATCTGTAAATGACTGTAAAATCTACGACAGTCCAACTCGTCTGTCACTCTTATGCACTGTCTGTACTGCTCGTGTGCTTCTGCAATTAAGTGATAATGGGAAAGCAAGTGGAAACCACAGAGGAAATGAGATGTGTGCTAAAGCTGTGCACACAATTATGGAAGCAGATTGCACTAATTGGCTGATTGTCCAGTGTTTATTAAAGGCTCAGTCAGGTGTGGCTAATAATGGGAGTTAATTAAAATACTTACTTTCAAAGTCCTTTGCTTTTAAATCTGGCCTCTGGAATGAAAGTCATATTTAGTATTTCTTTCACCGTCATCAGTGAAAGTGTGTAATGTTGACAGGGATGAGTGTATTATATGGAAAAACTAGACATTTAATCAGATAATTATAATATTCTAACATTGTGTGCATTGCTTTCATTTAAATTAAATTCCTACCGGTCCTAGAGGTGGTTTTGGTGACCTCCTGTGGAAAACAATGAAATGATCACTTATTCTATTCTTTGAGCTCATAGCTTTATGTTAACTGAAATAATGTTTGGGTAAGTGATGCTTACTCTCTGGGTATAGGTTTAGGTAGACGTGGAGGACGATTCCTCCCAGGACCTAGAAGAGCAAATACAAAGCAGTTATATGAGTGTATTACTGGGTACCCTATACAGTATAAATGCTAGTTATGTCAGTATTTTTGAAATTATAAATGAGTCATTCCATCGTAGAAAAGTGATTTGTCACTTGAGAGTGGCGTTCTTTACACCACTGCATCTGACGCTTTTTACTTGATCTTGACTAATACAAATGACCTGAACTGCAACCTTTGATCCTGTTTGTGGTGTAATGCCTTTTGTTGCAGTTCAATGGATTAACTTACAGATAGTAAGGATTACAGTGGTACTCCTTCAAAGGTTTGTGCTTCAACTTTGTTGAGTGAAAGTCTAGTATAATATCAGTATGTTATCGAGCACTGATCAACATTTATTTGCGTCTGTAACTGTAACATGTTTGGGTGTAGCTTTCTACTGAGCTTGCTAGTGTTAGCTTAGCACTCAAGCCACCTGTATATGAAAAGTTCTGGCCCTAAAAACCAACGTGGCAGCAGCCAAAATGCTAAAATAAAAAAATTTGTTCATAAAGGTCACAAAGACCTGAAAGCCCACTGATGACACCCAAAGTGCACATTGGGTCCATAGTTAAGAAGCACCCATTATTTACACTATGTGTAACATTGGAAAATTGTAAATTCAAGAGACACCTTCATTAATGCAAATACAGTGGGTTACAACAAAGTGCTAACCTTTGGCTATACTAAAGAACAAGAAGGCCAGATCATACTTGCCAGAAAACATCTAAAAGAGCCTGCATG